ATTTATAAAATATGTTTATTCTTTTAAGAAAATATGTGTTGAATTTTGAGTGACTAATAAAAAATTTGTTTATTACAATGTAGTTTTTATACGTTTAAAAAATAATAAATCATTAAAAAAATTGAGTTTTTTATTTCTCTGATGGTGTAATGACAGTCGAGAAGTCTTATAGTGTTAAGGTAATTTTTTTCGTAATAGTGTGCTTCCTTCTTCCCATCCACCCAAAAATCAAATACGTAATCGGCCTCCTCCGAAATGAAAACCTATATACGCCACTGATTGTAGGTATTTCTTATTTATCTCTATGTGTGTATTATAATTTATAACCATCAGATTATTAAATTTGATATTAATTATTTCAAATATTTTATTTACATACTACCAAGCAATTGTATTTGTTATCTCTCTCTGTCTCTCTCTCTCTCTCGTCTCGTAGTCATAGTTGTCAACGTTGTCGAGTTCATTTACGAATCACGATTGACTGGAAAACAAACGTGTCTAATATTTTATTTTCAATCAATATGAGTGGGAAGCGCATACAAATACATATATTGAAATAAATGAGTTGTTGGGGTATTTTTAAATGTGGAAGGAATTGACGATGATATTTTAAAATCAAAGCAATTCGTAAATATTTATAGTATTTATAACCGGAATTTGAGAATGAGATTATACAATATAAAACAATAATGAAGTATTTTTCAGAAAATGAAAAATTATCTATGCACAGTTTTTTTGAAGTATTAACAGTATCAAAGTTAAACGATTCATTTCCTATTGTGGAAATAGCTTTAAAACTTTTTATATTTATTCCATGTTCAAATGCTAGCGGAGAAAGATCCTTTTCAGTATTAAAAAGAATCAAGAACTACCAGAAAACATAATTATCTAATGAAAATATATCATAGTTGTCTCTAATATCTATTGTAAATATTTTCCTAAAACGTACGAGTATAGGTTGGAATGATATTATTAAAGAGTTTGTTACACAGAAAGCTAAAAAATAGTTGTAAATGTTTTATATTGAATAAATTTGTATTAAAATGTTTATATTTAGTACCTACTAAGATTTATAAATTTAAAAACTACCGGTGTTACAATATGTTTATAAATATAAATTAATTAAACAATCTTAACTATGTTATTACTTGTTGTATACATGCACTATACATATACATATGTATATATACATTTTGGTTTGCAGAGTGAGTTAAAGGGTGGAATTTTAAAACCTGCCCCTATGCGGCAAATTTGTTAATCCGACACTGTTTACATTAAATCCTTGCAATATTTTTTTGTTTCCTTATTTCCTTACAATTTCCTTACATTATGAACACTATTTTATACAATTTAAAAAAAAACTTATGGGGGGATCTAACCCCCCACATCCCCCCTTGTGTTCGCTCCTGATATACACCAATACCGGTATGCAAATTGGCATCAACATTTAAAACTTCGTACGCAATTGTATAGTTAAAAATCAAGTAAAATTGTACGGAATCGTGTAGCTTAAAAAATATCGCCGATAACAAATGTACGCAATCATGTTTTACCCGACGCACGGTATGGAAACCGGGATACCTAGAAAGTTCATCTTATCGCATTTTTTAAATTAAATAGTTTTTACCCAATGTAGCGTTCAGCTGTTACCGAGACTGATTACATATTATCGTATTTAACTACGGCCTAAAGGTCTACAGTTGACTATGGTTATTGGTAAAATAAGTTTTGTTCAAAGCCTCGCAAAAGGTCCTGCCGACGCGTGTACTGTACGTAAACGAAATATCAATACTGCACAGAGGACATATACGATTCATTATTTTTCGTTCAATAGCCGTTAAATATTTTACGCGCATCACGCGTTCATATGTTGACTACTGAAAGACACGATAAGAGCCAAACGAGCATTTATATGATCGTATACAGAAAACAGCGTTTTCCGTTGCCGTACAAACGTAATCCAATACCGCACAAAATGCATAACCGTAAATATTTATAAAAAGGTACCGACCGATTCCGCACACAAATAAGGCAAATGTATTGAGCACAAAAATGCTAGGAAAACGTAATCATGGATATTGCTGGTATACCGACTCGTATATTGGTTTAAAATGTAAAATCGTTTTTTTTTTTACATGCATTCCATTACGGTCGGACTGTTTGTTAATAAAAGCGAGTATTGATAATATACCGACCCGGGTTCTCGTTCCTGATCATTCATTTCCGCTGTATCAATTCAGTACTCTCTTCCCAAATTAATCAACGACAAAAGTTATAGTTGTTAAAACTGTAGGAACTGTTTCCACGATCGTTTTTAAAAACTGTGGACGTCATATTGGTTTTGTTTAAAACATCACATGTGATAGTTCGAACGCTGAAGCTGACTGAAAACTCACTTATAACGTGTAGTGGTTATGAATCATTTTCGACGAGGCGATAGTAGGCGTTAGAAATATACGTGCGCTGGGATAGGATATCCAGTGTTTTAAAATCTTACTACGATTGAGTATTACGCGTATTTGTGCGATAGCGGACGACGGATATTTAATCGAATTATATTTTTAAAAATCGTAAGGCGATGGATAAAATATACAAACGTAAAATAGTTCGATAAAAATATTAAACATAAGGTCGGGACGCGGCGATTCATCTATCGCCAAATCGGCTGGAACTCGATTGAGCACGGTTGCAATCAAACAATAGGAACCAGAAAAAAATCAAAAAACCACACGATTGAGCACGAAAATAGGTGCGACGTTGCTGCTTTGTACGCTTTGTAGAATATTTCAATAACTCACAATTTTTTTTAATCTCAATAAACTTATACTTGAAAGCTCCAACATTAGCTAACTTTAACTCCTTGCCTCTCTTGTAACTTCTTGCCACTCGAATAAAATAATTTTTATTTCATTATTTTCCATTTCGATTTGCAACATACACGTTATTTAGGAATACAACATGAGCACACGAGACAACAGAACAGACTGGCTATTATTTACAGCGTAGGTACATACAATAACAGTTCAATCTTTGTAGATAAAATATCGTTAAAATCGTTCTAGTTTCCAATCTATCAAAGTTATTTTAAACTTCCGTGGTAACCATCAATCGAGAGCGAAATTTTTTTCGACTAATAGTTAGTTTCCTATTAGTAATCTACATACAATACAATACATAAAATACAAACTAATAAAAATTTGACAACGTCGCACACAATATTTTTGTTTTACCGTGCTCAATTGGGTATCACGGGCCAGATCGTACATGGGATGCGATCCATCCAGCGCCATCCGAAATTTTATCATGATAATAATGCTTTGAGGTGCATTCGAAAATATTTCCTAAATATTTTTCATTACGTTACAGCCTTAATATTAGAATATTCGTCGAACGCGATCGATTGAATGTCATTATTCCTTACGGTAGTACAATATTGTGACAAGAGTAAAATTATAATTTTATTATAACATAAAACAATATATACACAAGTCGTATCAAAAGTGTTTCGTAAGTTTGTATTGCTTAATAATCGATGACTGATGAAATCAGGGATCAAGCGCCATGTGATTGTTGCTCAGTGAATACGATTTTCATTAGTGACGCATACACCCTAAAAAAATACGGTACATTGTCCTGCAACATATTTCTGTTCGTTAGCGTTGCTCATACGGACAAGTTTATAAATTAAATATCTCGTAATTGAATAATCGGAGGAACATCGGTGCAATCGAACTGTTTATTAACCGTTGGTTGTCCCGTAGTATCCACAGTGTCATTTAGCTCTTTTCAACATTTATCAGCTGGTAAATGAACGGTGGAATGCGTATATTATGATTTCGTACAGCATTAAGAAAATTAATGAACACCAACGCACAAAAAATATTATTTATATACAAACAGTAGTAATAACATAGGCAGTGGCGTATTTTTGGGGTCGTACTCGGGTCTCGTACCCTCCCAGAAGAAAAAAAGGATCAAAAGTTATAACTAGTATGAATGTACAGAAAAAATGGAATATTAATTTATATAATGTGGTTGTAAATAACTCATCATTTGTATTTATAATAATAATAAATTGGTATAATTATGAATTCATATATTATATGTATATTTTATATGGTAAAATATCTTTTTATTTTTTATTTTTTGGAAAAAATGTAATCCCCTCACAAACAATTTGAAAACACGCCATTGAACGTAGGTATAGGACCATCCATTACTTGCGTATAAATACAGTCGACGTAGTATCGAAATGTGTAACAATGATAAAAATGATTTAAAACAATATCATATACTATTATCGTACACATAGAATCATCGTTTTTCCGCCATTGTATCATTTTCTTAATCATTATTAAAGCATAATTCTCCTCTCTGCACGTATGAAAAATATTATATGAAATGAATGTATATATGTATAAGTATGCAGAACATCAAATAAGAACCGAAATTGTTATTAAATTATTTTATAGTCCAAAGGAATCTACCAATATAACAGTAGGTACCTAATATTATGTTCATCGAGTAGAGTTTTATTAAAAATACAGAATAAATTCTTATATTAAATTTTAATATAACACAATGTTGTACACGTATATAAAATTATAATATATTAGTTTTAGTAATATATACGGGACTAACGTTTATTAATACCTGACCGTGCAATGTTACGATAAGCGGAAACGAAAACGTATTATATTAAAAATAAACATAATTTCAGTACAATTATTATTATTAATATTATTACTGCTAGATTGCTCAGAAAATTATGTATTTAAGAGATTTCAAATATAAAATCACGATTATCAACGCTCAACTGTTGGACAGCATATACGAACGGTATAACTACAACTGCATGTTTATTGAAAATGAATGAACATAAAAAAACATACCACCGGTACGCGTGTATTTTCATGTAAATAAACGAGAAAGGAAAAGAAACCCGTTAATGGTTGTGAACTGCAAGGGGAAATGGTTGTTACAATCATCGAGTTCTCCAATCAATCTGTAATGTGCATTGTATTGTCATATTGGTATGGATGTAGATTACATTTTTCATCGGTGTACGAGTGCTCAATCCTGCATACTCGTACATTACGATAAAATAAATAAAACACAAACATTTAAAATTAATTAGGTTTATTTTTTTTTTTTTTTAAACGAACGAAATATAATTCAAAACGGACTAGGTTCTCTTTGGCACGACGCTTACCGACGTTGCGATTTCAGTACACTGATATCGGATTCTCGTTGTTACCTGTACCGTAGTACGTCTTCGGAATGCTTCGGCAACGGTTCTGGAAAACAGAATAAGTTATATTTTTCCATGCACGACCGAAATATATCTGTTTGTCTCGCGTGTACCGTGATATTCCTGAGCGTCTCGATCAGCACGTTCGCGATCCGTCTGGTGAAACCGTCCACATCTCGTCTCGTCCGTTCATTGACTGCCTCCTCGTATATCTCTCCGCCGTTCAACACCAGGTGCTTGTACGTGGTCATAAATTGTTTTTTAAAAGACTCTAAGTCCAACGTTTTGGGCAGTTGCCAATTATCGTGGGATAGCGTGTCGACGGCCCGGTACCAATTTGACGCGGCGTTTTTAACCGCTTTGCTCACGTAATGTTTGCCTTGTAACTATACATACACGCATGATATTATAAAGTCAAACTTCGATACTCGACGAAACCCTCTATGTGACAAGGTTTTTATTTTTTTAAGGAACCGAAAACATTTTTAATAGAAAAATAAAATAAATATTTTTGCTTGACAAAAAAAAAAGTCTATTTAACGAAATAATTAAACTATTAATAGTAATTGTATTTCAAACCTTTCAAAAGTAAGGCCGAATTAAATTTAAGAAACAACAATGGCTGTGTTGCACAGTGATCAACGGTTTTACATAGGTACGTGTAGGGTGAAAACATGTTTTAAGTGAAAATATTTGTATTCGATTTCAACGGAATTCTAAAAATCGTTTTCAAAAAACCATCAAGTTCGTTGAGTAGAATTTTGACTGTATAATATCACAATTAAGACGCGCGGGAATAAGTAAATGAGAAATATTATTATGTGGCGTACATATATTATGTACCAACACGCATGTCGTATCTGTAATGGAAAACAAAACACATTATATTATATATTATTACAGATAATAAGATTTTTTGAGCTGTTTCACAAAGCGTGGTCGGGCGTACATGGACCAAAGTGTTTGACAAACGTGTTAGAAATAAATTTATTATAATTATAAGAGGTTGCGATATTGATTGTTTTTCTTTTTTGAATCGCCTGGTTCTCAAATATCAGGAGACAAATCGAAAGTTTGTCTTTGTTGTTTTTACTTTTTTTCAATCATTTTTCAAAGAAATTCTCCGATATAATCTTATGTAATTCACGAGTGATTGTTATATTTTAATTTCACGTACATATTATCGGTCGACGCGTTTTGGTTCAAGTTTGATGTTTCATGTTAATCAATGAAAATATCACCGAGTAAAAAGATTGTATAAACGTAAGAATATGCTTTATGTTCGTGTACACGGCCTTTTCATTTCGTTTAAATTGAATATTTTATTTATTATACAACCTCTTTAATATTATTCTAACAAATTCTTTCTCAGCATAATTATATTTGTATACTATATCGCATTTATTTTCATTGTTACTCATAATACAGTGTATCTAATATTTTATTAACTAAAAATTAGTAATAGAATTTTGGTTATTTTTTTTTTTTTGCACAATTCGGAAAATATAAATAGAAGGTGTATTGTGCTATGTATAATATAAAATTAATAATTATAGTTTAGCATAAGTGTAAAACACAACGAAAAATGAATAAATATGAATGATTTTTATTATAAGACTTATATATGTTACTTAGGCCTGATACATAGTTGCAAAGCCGTATTTGGGGGGTCTAAGATGTCTGGACTTCCCCCCGAAATTTCTTCAATATTTGAATAATGTTTAAAATAATTATTTATTTTTAATACCAACATACATAATTTCAGTCAAAAATGACTTAAGCTCCAATCAATCATTGACTGTTTTTAATTTTATATCATAATATTATATGAAAATATGATATTAATTTTAATAAAATAAGATTAAATGTTTGTCTGTCTTATTTTTAACCAAATATCAAAAATTAAAATATAAATTCATGTTTTGGACCCTCCCGAAAAATATTTCTAGATACGACTCTGCATAGTTGTACATATCAAACTTTAGTTACTATTTAAAATCCCTATCAAATATTAAATCGAGAAAGAATATGAGTAAAGAACAAGAAAAAGAACACTACGTTGTATATTGGAAAGTTTTATTTGCGTTTGTATAATGTTATCATCATCATATGAAAAATTAGTTAAAATAAGGAGTTGGTTTTTAAAAAATCATAGTAATTAATGAACTGGATTTTACAAAAATTAAATATATTTTATAAAACTTTCTAGTTATTTTTTAATGGACTTTTTTTTTTATAACGTTATTATTATTAAAGTATAAAATAATATTGATGTAAAGAAATAACAATGTATAAAAATTCATTTTTTCTTAAGTTTCAATTTTTTTTAATACTTTTCTATTATTCTAAATTACATTTTTAGTACCTCTTAATTTCTTTGTGAAAATAACCGTTATATTTTAAGTCTTTGTAATTATTTTCAATGAACTTAAATCATATATACAAAAGGATTTGGCCCGTTTAAATTAATAAATAAAAAAAAAAAAATTGTATATATGCATTTTGTAAACACAAGAATTATAATGAATTCCGTAACGATAACATTTTTTGATAACTAATAAATATGTAAGAATGATAATATTATTTCCGGATTGTTGGTGTTATTATTTTTCGTTGTATACAGTTTAGAATAAAAATTAAAACCGTATGTAACCAACGTTCGCTGCAACAGTTGGCGGATTTTCACGATCGAAGTCGACCGCAAGGATGGAGAACGGCGTGTAGACGGGTGAGCTCTCGAATCGGTTGGTGAACGAATTTATTATTATTATACGTAATTATTTCAAACGAAATGTAAACTTTCACTTCGCTACAGCGATCGTTATACATTCAGAATTTTCGAGTACAAATGTAGATCACAATTTAAGCGCGTAAAGTCACCAGATTTTTTTTTTTTTATTTTAAATTGTATAATGCATAAAACGATCGATAACAGTAAAATACGCATGTGCAAGTATAATACAATGTGCACGGCTCGACATGTCAATCTAATCGGAGGAAAAACTTTCCATGTTCAAAAGTTTTCACCGTAAGTAAACACGTCTCCGGTGGCCGTAAGTATAGTTGATAATCTTTACAGAGCCTTGGCCGAGTCCTCTACACAACGTGAGCACACGTTGCAGTCGTTGTAATATTATTAAATATGCGTACGAATTTTTATTTTTTTATTTATTTATTCGTATTTTTCGCTTCCCTACAAAACTTGGTGAAAACCAACTAAATATTGTACGCGTAAAACTGTAACTCCACGATTGATTCCATAAAAATAAAATAACGTTACTCGAAAGACAATTATTACGGTCATGAGTAAATTACTCGACGTACAGTATTTACAATTGGGGATGCATGACTGAGTGTAGATTATGGAATGAGGCTACAATATTCATGTTATCTAGCATGTTATTTCGTTTTCCTGGTTAATTTTAGTTTTCATATTTGACTAAAGCGATTTTGGTAATGAAGAACACATTTTGTCTTACGCAGTAAAAAAATAAGGGTGGAACTGGAGACACATGTTCTTATCCCCACCACCATATCATTGAAAATACATTTTAAAATATTTCTTTAACCATCATTTAGCAAGACAGTCATATTTGCAAACCAGTATTTCGTCTGTAAAAGAGGTTTCTGGAATTCGCACTTATCTTCAGCCCAACTCCGTAATTCAATAATGCAAGTTTCAACTTTTTAAAAAAGTCAATTTGATATAATTGGTAAATTTACAGGGAGATCTGAATTATGTTAGAACCTAATATAACGCAAAAAAGTATAACAAAAAAGTATAACAATTGGTGTATAAGATTTTTTTATTAATAAGAATTTTTATTTGGCAAATTATAATTATTTTTTTATATTTTAAATATTTTTACCTGATAAAGACTATGAATATTTCATAGCTGTATTTTGGTTACTAAATTTTAAATTTACATCCCAAAGCAGTGATAGCCGGAACTGTGTTTTGTCACGAGACTAATTATACACTCAACAATTACCACTCATTACAATTTATTTTTTTTAATTAAAAAACTAATACCTTATTTATTAATATTTAGATTGTTAGTTTTTCTACTTCTCATTATTTTTCTACAAGGCAACTATGCGCAACACTTTTTAACACGACGCATTAAGACTCGCCAACAAGAATTGTTCTGGGCAACGTTAACCAGTTGTCTTGGGCAATGATTTCGATTGTACACACACGTCTTGACTCTTGTACTTCGGGAAAATTGGAAATACGTTTGAAATAGGAGAGATCTAGTAGATCCCTACACAATTTCATCTTGGACTGCAATTCGTATGCGTCACAAATAAAACGTACAATATGGCTAACAAATCTGTGGCATCGCATCCCGGTCTGCGATTTAATGAAAAATAACTGTTACATCGGAGGACGCGATCAGTGTCGTAGTCGATCACCGACATCGCCCTTCGCAGTACATTTCACGATACGGACTCTATATATAAAAGACACGACGGGGACCGAAATCGTTATATTACGTTTACGAAACGTAATGATTCGGGCGGAGCAGTGAGTGTTTTGCCATTTATCTATACTATAGTGGACACTCGTGGAACTGGATCGAAAATCAGTGTGAATAGGTCCGAAACGTATAATATAGATGAATTGGCGGCGTTTGACGTACACTACTTGGTGGTGGTTTCTTCGTCGGCGAGTGTTGACTACAAGCGATAACGCATTACATGATTTATTTTATATATAAATACGAACGGATTTCATCGGCGAAGAAGACAACGTCACCGTCTAACGGGATTGCCGCGTGGCTAGGAGGATTTCAATTTGCTTGTTTCGACGATTTGTTGCGCGCAAAACGTATTGGTAAAACGAGATAGCCGAAAAAAACCTGAACCGTAATAAACGGAATTCCCATCATATATATTTATATATAAAGACACCCACATTGGCGAGATTATATTTATAAGTTTAGTAGTAATATATACTACTTTGCGAAACATGGATATTCATTTTGGCAGAACAACGAACACTCAAAAGCTTCGAAATGTAGTGTCGAAGAAGGATGCTGAGAGTGAGTTGAATAGAACAGCGTATCAACAAATACTCAGTGAAATAGTGGAAAGAAGAGAGATACTCAAAACTCTCTGAACAAGACGATGGAATATGATGGTTCATACATTGAGACACAAAAATGAACTAACCCATAGAATAATCGAAGGGATAATTGAAGATAAAAGGGACTGAGAACGTCCGAGAACTTAATTTGTCAAACAGACGATCTCCGAAGTTAGACTAAGAAGTAACACTGAACTGAAAAGGTCAGTTAAGAATAGAAAATAGTGGAGAGCGAATATCCAATTGCAAAATCAACCTTAAGGGTTGAATACCAATAGAAGAATATGTACTTACGGACTGTGCCCAAGCGGCCAATTGCATCTTGAACCTCACACAATAGCTGAGATAACCGTTCTTGGCGATAATACCCTGCAAAGTCGAGTGCTCTGGATCCCCGGAGATGAGCTCAGACCACATGGAAGTGATGTACACTACGGCCACCTCGTAATCGGAAGACCAATCGAATGGCACGTCGTTCGTCTACAATAACCGACGTGCGGATCACGCAACGCGGGACGTGTGCGTGAGTGTTGGAAAACGTTACGGTATTGTTTAGGGGGCTGATACCGAGTGGTGAGTCCAGTGAGTGGGGGGGGTATACGTTTCGAGAGATCTTAAATCCAATGGCGTAACTAGATTATAAAGTTAGAGGGGGGGAGTCAGCCCTAACATGTTTAAAATAATTAAAATCTGTGGGGCGCTCTGCCCCCCTCCACACCTCCCAAATTCGTCTTTCATGTAACATTCATTTTTGAATTATAATATTATTTTATTAATATACAACGTATAAAACAGATAATAAAAAAGTGATATTGATGTAAACATTAAAATATTAACATATTTATTAAGTATTATTTTAGATACAAGTTAAATTTTCTTAAAAATTAAAAACTTAAAGTAATTTTATAACTATTACAGCTTAAGCCTCCGCTCAGTATTTGCAAATTCATTTAAAATGTCTTTTTTGTTTAGAATGTTTGACAAATCTCTTTCAATTGCCATGATTGCTAATTTGGATAATCGAAACGGTAATATAGTTGACCTTATGTGGGTGTTTATTCGACGCATTGCTGAAAATGTTCTTTCGCAAGATGCTTTTTGGAACTACAAGCGCTAAATGTAGCATTTTATATGAATTTGGGAAAACAGATTTTTCAACGATACTCTTTAGTTGCTTTAAACGTTCCTGATTGTTAATGTTTTCTTATTAATTGTCATAACAACTTTTTGCAACCAAAATTTTTGATTTTAAGTCAGTTTCATTAATATTTGTTATCACATGTTATTAATAATCGTACGTCTTTTACGTCTATTTTTGTGTTTAATTAATTAATAATTTCTAAGTAATATTTATATAGTAAAATCTAACATACAATCATCGTATTACAATGATACGTATAACCATGTAAATAAATATTTTTCCAAGATATAAATAAAAAAATAAAACGGTATTTTAAATAAAAAATAAAAAATAAAAAAATAAAATATTTAATTAAAAATGTAGCTACCTATAGCAAGACAAAGAATTATGACAAGGGGGGTAAAATTCATGTTGGGAGGGGGATTAGCCCCTAATTCTCCTCTAGTTAAGCCTATGCTTAAATCAAAATCATTCTTGATCTTAAATTGCATAAAATACAAAGGAGTCCACGAATATCGTACACAATGTTCCCATGATCGACTTCTATCACAAAACACAAATGTTTTACAGTATTTTATTTTTATTTTCCTACACTTGTTTCGTAATTAAAATTCCTGGAGTCGCCACTAATCAGTATACATTCGTAGGTGTACTGAACATCTCCGGGAGCCTGTTGAGTATCGAACCCTTTAAAAAACATACTCACCGAAGACATTGTTTCACCGACTAACGACAACAGCCCTGACGACTTTGAACGCTCCGCGGTGTACGCAGCGTGGCCAAACTGGAAAACGGAAATTACGTAAACGATGACGTGCTAACGAGCGAGATGAATATATTACACCTTGTGATCTTTTTCGTGTCATTAGTTACACATTATCGTCCGTCGTACACTGATCTATGTGCAACATACTGCGTGCATGTTTTACATTGTGTATGTGTGTGTGTGTGTGTAGAGAGTGAAGTTGTAGTCGATTCTGAAATTGATCATTTTTTAATAACTCCCAATTATTATTAATTAAATCCAATAGAAACGGCGCAACGCGCCGTGTCACGATAATAATACATTTTGTTTCGTGTAAGTGCGCACACTTATAACAAATTAATTATCTTTGGATTATATTTGAATCATTGTAGGTACCATATTGTATTAAGATACTTTTCCATTTTATTCGACGTATTATAGTTGCTCGGATCGTTAAATCGTAACTGAAGGATTTCCTTCGTTGTAAAACTCAACTTTGCTAATTACGATAAAACGTTTAGTGTTTAGGGATTTTTCAGAGATTTATCCTACTGTCCCGAGACGATTAAACACTTACCTCAGTATTCACTAAACGCATGGAAAATTAGGTTTTGAAGAGGTATCGAAAAAAATAAGCCACCCCAAGTACTTTTCGTAATATTTTACCACGCATACATTATACTAACGAAATAGTACTTCATATGGATTTACCCCCCCCCCCCCCCCGGCAAAGTTGTCGTCATCGAACATGACGGGGTGGCGTGCATCGCACATGAAAATAGTGTTATTATTATTTTTTTTAATCTCTATCATCTCGCTAAGTTGTCGGATTCGGGTTTTTTTATGTTTTTCCGGCACGCATTAAGTGTGAAACAATTGTTTATTTTTTTTCTCGTCCATTCTTTTCTAGTCCCAACGCGCGCACATATTCAAAACAGATGGTTAAGTTATGCGCGAGTGTAGCGAACAAAAACGAAAATAGTGTCGAGGAAAAAAAAAGGGAAAAATACGGCACCCAAAGAATATCTCATTCGCCGCACAAAGTTACGCATCGTACGCACGGGTTTCGTCAAAATCGGCTTTGCAGCGGCAGGTCGAGGTCGGCTAATTTTATCTCTCGGACCGGGTGTGAAGAAAACCGCAGCGGACCGTGGACATTTGTCACAGGTCAAATTATTGCAAGTACAAAAACCCACTCGCGCGCACGCACGTCCGCCCGAAATCGGGCTCGTGTCCCTGCGGCGCAAACTGTCAACTATACAGTATTATTGTATTGCGGTCCGGAAGGTTGCCGCTGTGAATAACGTGCACGTGCGCCAATAGTGTCTATTATGGCATTGTGTAAATATTAAACAACGGTATTCACGTGCATCGCGTGGAAAGAAAAAAAAATCATTGATAAAAACCGGCCAGTGGCAAGATGGTTTTATTTTATTTTTACTTTTTTTTTTCGTCCTTGTCGAAACCGATGGAGAAAACGGATTTTGTTAATGGCGTAGCGTACGCGTACGTCGACACCGTTCTGTACAGCAACATTATAATAAACGACAATAACAATATGCTGCACGCGATGACGGGAAGAGGAGGGTCATAAAATACCAGTGGGCATACAGGTACGACTGTGATCAAAATTCTGACTTGGGGTTACAGTCCCAAACAATATATTACAAAGGAGAAATCCGTCGCTGTGTATCGGAACATTTTTACGGTAAAAAGAACCCCTTATAGGATATTATGTCACGTTCGACCAAAAGAATACTTTTTCCCCTTCTCATCGTTCGGCGGTACCGCTATCATTTGATATAACTTGACAGCAAATGACGCGTGATTATAATTGATATTTCATCTAAACGCGATCAATTTAGATACGGAAATATACTTATAAACTTATACTTATAAGTGTCAATGTTTAGTTACCGAGTGACAAAGGAATCTAAACTGATTGGCCCAATAAGTTTGAATTTCCTTTTTGAAACTAGTAAACTATGTATTTCTTATTTGGAATGTATGCGTGTCTTTGGTAGTGTACTGACGTGTTTGATCGATATGCTCATGTTGAATATTTCGCTGTCGAGTTCATATTGAATAGGTATGAAACGTCAGCACACAATTGCAGATTAGGTGTTTCTGATTAAGAAATTTTCATAATCTTTTTGTACGTGAAAAAAAGAGAAAGAAATATGTTGAACGCTATGAGTTATAGGACATACTTGTATCATAAAATAACAATCGATATTAATAATTTTCAAACGATTAATTGTTCACGCATTGTGAATTATACTAAGAACTCCTCAAAATCGTGGATGAATTTATTGTTTTACGCTGATTCGGTAAAATGAAGGTTTGTTACACAACATCAATTTGTGCAAACGCTTGTGAAAACGTGCACAAAATCCATGATCCGCTGAAGACATCATAATATAGAGATGATGGCTACAAGAAAAAAGAATGCGATGAAGTGTGGGTGAAGAATAAGGGGAAGAGCGTGTCGTCGTCTGAAAAAACATTTATTTTTTTAAATTTATATTCATACCTTCGGCAACATGGGCCATTGGCCATACAGGGAGAAAATTATAAACTATATTAATAGTATATTAAATGTAAGTTACACTAAATTCTGATTTGAAGATTGGCGGCTGTGATGAATTGGATGATGTTGGCAATGGAATGAGTAATTGTGAGTAAAATGGTGATTATTTATTATTTCGGAGAGTGATTCGGGTAGGTTGTGGCTTTTTTAGGTATTGTGGTATGTTCGGCATTCGTTGAGAATGTGCTTGATAGTGACTTGGATAACACAAGATGTGCACAATAGGGGTTCTTTATTGGCCATTAAGAAACTGTGGGAGATTTTCTTGTGTCTGGTTATTTTGACTTTAAATTATCTGTGAATTTTGATAGGAAATATCAAATTTTCTGTGTTATGTTTTATATGATTTAATTTAGTGTTATAAGATATCTATTTCTGGTGCCATTTTTGTTGATATTTCTTTGCTATAAGCGTTCGTACGTCACTGAAAGAAATAATTGCAATGCTAGTAGAGAGGTGATTGCAGTTTTGGCTGCGAGATCAGTAAGTTCGTTTTCTTTTTGTTAGAATGTCCGGGAATCCAGAAGACTTTGATTTTGAAGCTATTATTATAAAGTGTAGATTTTTATCTGAATATGTAGGTCTGATTGATTGGTTATATGTGTTTTTTATATTGTTGATAGCGCCAAGGGAGTTAGTGAAGATAATAGTATATTGTAAGTGATGATCGGTTATTATCTCGAGCGCTTTTAATATGGAAAACATCGAATGTTGCCATTTCGGTTTTGAAATGCGCACCTCATCGTTTCGTAGTTTTCCATGCATGGACACTGTCGATTTCGTTCATCCCTCCCGCCGGTCACGTGTCCAAAAAAATAAATATCACTACGCAAATTTCGCAAAGTGATTTTTTTGATAATGCAACCGTTCGTCACCGTCAAAAGTATAACAAAATAAAACTAGGGATCGTAGATTTTTCACCGCGACCTTTTTATCTGGTTCATGTCGAACACACACTTGCTGTATAGGTTTAATGTGATAATATATTATGTGAACTTGCCCCGGCTGATTATAATACATGGACCCACCGAAGGTGGCGCTTTTGCGTATCAAAGCGAATGTGCGATAATATCATAGCGTTCCAAGTGAAACATAATTATTTTCGTGTGAAACGGATTTACATAAAATATTTTCGACAAGTTTTCACGAGCGTAGCCCACGCTGCAAGTGGCTATACGCCGCTGTAACTATAAGCGCGTTTCAAGTATGATATTATACGTTCCCGTTAAAACGAATAGTAAATCTTTAACCGAAAGGCATATGCGACCAACTCCATTCTCAGGAGAGACGAAAAAACAATTTCTATCCGATTTTTAACTCGCTTAAAGTGTTGTTGTTAATTCAATTTTAATGTCGCACTAACTATACCTATTTGTTTTAAATATTAAAGCCCACTTCTAAAAGTAGGTTAGTTTATATTCAATTCTTCGAGTTCTAAATAATACAAGACTTCTTATGTAAATGATTAAGTATACTTATACACCATTATATTTTTATGATTTAATTGAATAATGTTGGACTTTGTTCAATTTTCTCAAATCGTAAGAGCACTTGAATCACATTAAACTGTTTATTATAGTATTTTATGATTTAGATCGAAATCAAACAACAATGTAATAAAACGTTTTAGTTTTAATTGCATAGGACTTAGATCGTATAATCATCTAAATCGAAACTTATATTTGGGTTCTATATAATTTACCTATATTACGTAAGTGTTCGTAATTCAGTTTGAAATAATTATAGATAAAAAAAACTCACGGAACATTTCACATATCCAAGTCATAAATAATCTAAATTTTGTTGAAAACGAACTTTTCGTGTTTTTTGCCTCTTTTTATGAATGGAAATATACATCGTGTGAACGACAATCGTTTGAAAGAAATTCACAGCAAATGCGTCCACTCGAATATTTTTGTACTACGAAAAACTTCTCGAGGAATACAATCGCACCGGTTGACGAGTTTACAAAACGTAAAATGAGGGAAAAAAATCAAGTAGATAAAAAGTTGAAGTCAACTAATTTTATTTTAAAAAAGTTTCAAAAAAAAAAAAAAAAAACAAAAAAGTCCAAGTCAAGGAGCTGTAATCTGTTTTACGTGCATACAATACACTATATTTGCTAGCATAATGAATGCGCTGTACCAAATGAGCGAGCGAACACAAACTTCACTTGACCTATTTGTCTCTCTCGCATATTGTACTCGTATTATACGTGTATAGTTTCCGTACGCAAATACAATATAAAAATATAAACAATATTATGTTATGTTACGTTCATCGGTTCCGGCCAATGCTTAATTATTGACTGCACGCAAACATGTACTCGACAAGCGATGCTTATATATCGTGATATAGTATGTAAATTATGTAGAGATTATCTATTCGGATTCGTATTAGCCACGCGTGTTTTACCGTGTAGGTATACAGATTTAGAAAGCAGAGTAAC